AGGAAGGAAGGAAGGAAGGAAGGAAGGAAGGAAGGAAGGAGTAAGGGAGGAAGGGGAAGGAAGAAAGGAAGGAAGGAAGGAAGGAAGGAAGGAAGGAAGGAAGGAAGGAAAGAAGGGCGAGCTCTTTAGCTAGCAAAACCAGCTTTCATTTGTAACGATGTAACTAACTGATACCTTATAAACACAGGTGCCTACTCTGTCCCACACAAGGACAGAATCCCCAGATTTGAACCTGACCACAAAGGTAACACACACCCGCAAAACCCACGCTGCTGCTGGCCCGATCCTTTCAATAATGTTCTCCTCCGCTTTGATTGGCAGGAACACACTGGCGTCTGTGTACTTAAGCCTCACCAAAAACTGCAGAGCAAACAGTACGGAGCTGGGACGGTCTATATGTCTTCTCACGGACTGTGGCTTATGACAATAGCTAAATGTGGAATTCTCTGTATCCGAGATGTGTTCAGCCTGGTAAATTAACGAAAAAGAAAATCTGAGTGGAGAAAGGGGTGGTGGGTGGGTGGGTGGGGGGAGGCTCGGAGAGATTGCCTAGTGGTTAGGGCATTTGCTGCTTTTGTAGAAGACTCAGGTTCAGTTTCCAACATCCACATGTGGCTGACCACCAGTCCCACGGGATCCAGCACCCGCTTCTCGATTCCATGGACACCAGGCACACATGTGGTGCACATACATACACGCAGACAAAACACTCATACACGTAAAATAAATACGTCTTCTAATTATATAAAAACACACGGTGTAGGGGCCAGAGAGAGGGCTCTGCTTAACTCTTCCTGATGACCCAGATCTGGCTCCAGCACCTGGGCTGTGTGGTTCACAGCTGCCTGGGAATTCTTTCGCAAGGGATCCGATGCTCCAGGCTCCACCCACCAGCACCTAAACTCCTGTGGACATTTGCATGCTCACAATTGAATAGGAATACAATGTTACAGTATGGAGCATGTTTATGGATTTCAGGGAGGAGCAAATCCTAAGGGAAAGGAAATCAGGACTTCCTTAAGTAAATTGACTCAGCTTCTTGTTTTCTTTTTCTTTTTGTAAACTCATTGAGGGTAGTAACAATTTTTTTTTAACATCCTTGCCCGTCAGCTTTCCACTCTAAAGAAGGAAACCCCAGCCAGAGCAGTCAGACCTGCACACACAGAGCAGTAGGCAGGCCCTGCAGGAGGGCTCCTGCCTACCTATCCAGCTTGTCAGCAAGCTGTTCCTTGGAAACTCACCGAGGGGCACTGAACTAACTCTTTACTGTGAAGTCAGGGAAACTGCTCCCTGGCCCCTAAAGGCTCATGGGAAGAAAAACAGCTTTGAAAATGATACCCTTAGCAACAATGTTGCCTGGTCTGAAGGGCCTTGGCTTTTTTGTTTGTTTGTTTGTTTGTTTGTTTGTTTTTTAAGACAGGGTTTCTCTGTGTAGCCCTGGCTGTCCTGGAACTCACTCTGTATACCAGGCTAGCCTCGAACTCAGAAATCCGCCTGTCTCTGCCTCCCAAGTGCTGGGATTAAAGGCGTGCGCCATCACCGCCCAGCGGGCCTTGGCTTGTTGCTGTCCTCCTCAACCCTTCAAAGATGCTGAGGGAGCAGAATCAGGCAGAGAGCACCCTTGTCTGAGTCTGCCAGCACTAGCACCCAATTTCCAGAGCCCACAGACCTCCGAGAAACTGAGACATGTTTCTCTTCTGTAGAAAGTGGGGCATGCTTTCCTAGGTTTGCGACTATGCTGCACAGTCCACTGTATGACTTAATTTGCTCAGTGATTCTTACCCAGTTTCCCACCCCTCTCCACCACACACTGGAAATATACCCACCCATGAGACAACACTCCCTCATGTCCAGAGATACTATTGTCTCTGGCTGGGCACAAAGTAGTTCCTTTTCTTCTCCTTTAGAAGAAAGCAAATTTGGACAAGCTCATTATGGTTCTAGAGGAAAATCGTGAGTCTCTTAGGAACTGGGTTTTCTCTCCTCAGTATGTGAAGTGTGTGTTGTATGTGTGTGTTTTCATGTTCCCTGTGGTGTGCAGGCCCATACACACTGTAGTCAGAGCACAAGCTTCCTTTTGCTGCCACCAAAGCCAGGCTAGCTGGCCTGCAAGCTTCTGGAGAAGTCTTTGTGGGCACATGTTGGAATTTGGCTGCTCCTCGAATGGCTTCCTCTGGCCTTTAAGTGAGTTCTGGGGATTGAAGCCCATGCTGTGATGCTATGCACTGCAAGCATTTTATACCCTGAGCCATCTCTCCAGGACTAGAGGTCGGGTTGTGGTTTTTTTTTTTGTTGTTGTTTTTTTTTTTTAAGTGAATGATTGCAAACCGTGCTGCACTGTCGGAAGCTTGGGGCAGCTGACAGTGACCCAACACGGCAAAACACCTCACAGATGAAGTTATTTATGGAAAAAGTGGCAAAAAAAAAAAGGAAAAGAAAGAAAGAAAAGGGAAAAGAAAGAAAAAGAAAAGGAAAAGAAAATCCCAAGCTTTCTGCACAGAAGATTAGGTAAATAGATCAACTATGGTACAAAATCAGAACTTAAGTAAAAGGTGGACAGTCATTAGGCAGCCGTGAGACAGAACAAGGAGAGCCCAATAGAACAATAGGAAAAACTTCCCAAGAAATCTGATTGTTAAGTAGAAAAGCAAAGTGTATAAAGTAAGTGTATATGCATATGATATTCTATGGCTTATGTCATGAAAGTTAAACTTACATAAGTTTTTCTGAAAGGCTCTTGATGGTATTATAGTCACAGCGTTCAGGAGAAACGCTAGTCACAGAGTCGGAGTCGGAAGAGATTTCTTGCCAGGCTCTCCGATAGCTTTTTTTGCTTTAAACTACTTGAATGTCTTGTCTGCTCAAAAACCTCTGTGGAAAGACGCCAGGCTCAAGTACCAGGGTAACAGCTGCAGGTTTTCATGGAAAGAGCTTAAATGGTTGCCCTGTGTCGCACACATCCGTGATGTGTTTGTTTGGATTACTTAATTGGCTTCATTAGCACACCCCAGGGCATGTTATCTTCCTTTTCCTAACACACACACTTTACATAAAACACATCCCGCCTGATTCACTGGAGGCACCACGGTTTTACTCACCCAAAATCCCTTCCCTAACTTCACAATCTTCAGCCAGTACAATGATTGGGTGTCTGGTGGCCTGGCTTAAGCCACTGGTTCCGATCCTGCTCCTTCCATATGACATAAAGTATTGGGAAAAAAATAAGTCAATACCGGCTTGAACTAGAGGTTTTAAGTGCTGAGTATTACCAAGAGTTACTTTTTTTCCCCCAAGAGCTACTTTTATACCAACTAAAATGTCTTTAGAAGTGCAGAAAAAAAATACCCACAAGCGAAAACCACACCATATAACTACATTTATCCCTAATTTCTCCATCTTATCCCTAAAACTATTTGAGGAAACCTTTGTTCGATGTCGGAGTCATTCTCACCAGGGGCGAGGGATCCAGAACATGAAAATGTCAATGGACGGACAGAACATCCTGGTGAATGGAAAAGATGACAACACCCTTGTCTACCTCAAATGGAAGTAAGTACGGCGCACGGCACGCAACGTCACGTGATACTGTGTTTTCAATTCAGAAGGCCAGTCTCTCCGGCAATAGGCTGTCAGGCACAGAGGTCTGAGAGGAGGGCGCACACCAAGCTTGCCGTGGGAGCCAGGCGGAAGGCACCAGGCTGGATAAGGATTCTGAGGGAGGAACACGGCAAGAGCCATTGTTTCCAAAGGAAGGATCTAGAAGGATTGCGTGAGAAGCAGGGATGGGTTAAACTGTTGGGTTCGGGAGCATACAGGCTACTTCTTGTTGTCTGGAACTTGACCCTGAGGCTGTCAACGGACAAGAAATAACAGCCCCAGGTGTGGGAGTGTCATGTGTGTGGGCCCCACCCCCACCCCTGGGTGGCTGGGGTGTGGCCTCTGGATTAGTTGGCTGCCTGTGAAAAGGTGCTTCAGAGGGAATTTTCACTGGGAATTGGCTCATCCCACGTGAATAACCAATAACGTGACACCAAAAGACAGCTTGGATTTTAAATGCAGTCTTACGGAAGCCACGCATACTCAGCTCCCTTTGGCAACAGTAATTTTAAAACACAGCCCTCCTTGGTAACGCAGTGAAAACATTTCATACCATGGGGATTTTGGGGGGAGCTGCTTAGTTCAAAGACTCGTTTCAAGATGGTGTGATTCTGCCCATTTCATATATGAAAGACATAAGCAAAATAGAGACTCAGGTCTTAATACATAAATCATAACATGAATCCACAGTGAATGGACAAACAGTGTCTCAGGCAATAGCCAACAAGTACAGGATCCTATTTAAAAAGAAAAGATGCTTCCAGCCATCAGTAATTACCTGAACTCTCAAACTAAATGAAGTTGTGTTTGGAACCTTGGTTCAGGACTTACGAGCCTTGCAACTGTAGGCATTCGGTGATACTTCTACTTCAACCGATATGTGTCTTGACCCTTTTGGGGGTCGCATATCAGATATCCTACAAAATAGATATATACATTACAATTCATAACAGTAGCAAAATTACAGTTGTGAAGTAGCCAGGAAAATAATTTTTATGGTTGGGGGTCACCTCAACGTGAGGAATTCCATTAAAGGATCTCAGCATTTGGAAGGCTGAGAAGCACTGCTCTAAGCAGTCTGCAACAGTGTCCCTCAAGGTGAGAGGGCTGTAGATTTGGTAGACTTGGTAGAAATGCATATCGGGCTGCCATTTCCTCTGCCTGCCTCAGCGTGTCTGCACTGCCCTAGTTTGCTTTTCTGATGCCCTGGTAAGCACCACAACCAGAAGAAACTCGGGGAAGAGAAGGCTTATAGCTTACAGGTTTGTAGTCCACCACTGAGGAAAACCAAGGCAGAAACTCAAGGTAGGAGCTTGAAGTGGAAATCTCAGAAGAACCTCTCCCTTGCCTCCCCTGGCTCCAGGGATGGATGGCGTCGCTCGCTGGACGCTGGGCTATCTTACCTCAGCAATCAGGAGGATGCTCCAGAGACTTGCCCACAGGCCAGTTTAATGGAGGCAGTTCAACTGAAATCGTGTATGGGACAAAGCCTGGTGCATTCTCGGGGCTCAGAGCAGTGGCTCTTCAGTGTGGTGGCCAAAAGCCATGTTGGGTGAAGGGTACAGGACAGTATAAGGAGAGATCACCCAAGAAGGGTCAGGAACCTGAGTCCTTAAAAGTCCATGAAAGGGCCTCTTCTGAGGCCAAGCAACTAAAGGGCACTGTGGAGAACTTCTCCATGTTTCTTTGTGTAGTTATCTGGGAATAACGCTGATGAATGCGATCATTTTAAAGTGATTTTACGGTTATATATTCTCTCTCTCTCTCTCTCTCTCATCATTATTTTTATTAGGCGACTTGGAGCAAACATAGCAACCGAGATCTATGAACACTCCCATCAGCTAGTACTCAATCTGTCCAAGACAATGGAAACGGAGACTGAATACTTAGCTTCATGGGGAAATTACCAGGATGTGCCACAAGAAGAGACCGCCGAATCCCAAGTAGCTAGCTTGCTTTCTCCCTCTCTGTAAATAACATGCAGGGTTTCCGTTCATAGTTTTTAAGCGCATATGTAACTCTACTTTTTCTTACCCAGCTGTCCAGTGATTTTTTCAACTAGAATATAAGCTACATGTGACAGAAAACTAAGCTTTTCTCAAAATAACCACAAACATTATATCTCAAATTTCACTTAAATGATGGTACAAGATCTGGACTTCCTTGAAAAAAGATTTTTTTTTAAATCAATATTTGTAGAAATTTGGCCTGGTTCTTCCTCCCGGCTCCATGTGTCCTGAAATAGGACTCAGACTCAAAATATATTTACAACTACCATGGCCACATGGCTAAGCTCTTCTTTGAATAGACTATAGCCATAGATGAACCTGTTTATCCTAATCTGTTTTCTGCTGTGTGGCTGGTTACTTTACCCACGTTCAGGTCCCACACGTCCATCTTATCACAGCTTTCTGGGTGAAGCTTCTGCACTTGGCTCTATCCCAGAATTTTTTTTCTTCCTCCCAGATATCTCACCTCCTATTTCCTGGCTAAGCCCTAGGCCGTCAGATTTCTTATTGACGGGTGCCACATCCACTTGGACACAAGGTATTCTATCTACAAATATCGGCGGCAGGTGGAAGTAGTCTCTCTCTACCGTCATATAATATTCATGATTTAGGACATGTCAGCCTAGAAAACAAGACTTAGTTGGTTGTTCAGTGAATAACTTTTTAAAAATTAAATGAAATCACTTTGTTATAATAAACTCACATATAAAAATATCATATAGCTAGGTTAGGAGGCCGCTGAAATACTTTTCTCCTCTCCGCCTCTCTCATTGGACTTTCACACAGTTAAAATGGCCATTCTGAGGCAATGGAGCTTTGCTGGTTTTTTGTTTTGTTTTGTTTTTACACTTTAAGTCCCAATTATGACTTGGTTGGTTTTTGGTTTTTGGTTTTTGTTTTGTTTTTGTTTTTGAGACAAGTCTCATTATATAGCCTTGGTTACCCTGGAACTTTCTTTTGTATTAGGCTGGCCTCGAACTCAGGGATTGGCCTGCCTCTGCCTATCACATTTTTACATATGGTTCCACCACAAAAGAAAAAACATTCCGAGTTGAAAGGGGTTCAGAAAATAATTATTAGGTGCCTATAAAGCATTCGTCTAGGATCAATGCAACCATGAATGAGAGGAAATGCTTTGCTTTCTTGGTGTTCCCTTCCTATGGTGCTGCTGGAGGACAGAGAGATGGGTACATAAGCAAACAGGAAAAGCTGGTTGTTGAACGAGTGCTATTCGTGAAATTAGAAAGGTCGACACAACAGTGTTTGCCGGACCAGCCTCTCCGTGTACTAAGATCAGACTTAAAAGACAATGCCCCCTTGGAAAGCAGAAGAGCTAGCAAAGTCAGGATGGAGAAGCAGGGATCTTGGCCTGTGATGTGTGGAAACCAGGACAAGGCCTGTGCAGGTGAAGTGAGCCAGGTCAAAATGGGAGAGAAGCCCAGAGGGATGGGCTTTGTAAACCAAGAGAAGAATCTGGGGTTTGTTGTTGCACACAGTGAGAGTCTGTCGAAGCAGAGGACTAACAAAGCTTTGAAATGAGCGCTTGCTGCTTTGAGGGAAGTGTTTCCTGGAGGACACAGGGTGGGAGCCAGGAGGTTCCTAGAGAGATAGTGCCTGTGGGGGAGTGCTGCGTCAGAGACAGTGCTAGATTCCAGGTCAGTGTCAGAGACTGGACTAGGAAGACCCACCAAGGGATGGACACAGAGGGAGGTGAAGAGAAAAGGCTCAAGGATGACTCACAGACACCTCACCTTTGAACAGCACCCCGAGTAGGAATAGGATGTGCTGTCAAAGAGCCAGCAGCTGCGTTAAAAAAGACAGGATCTAAAGTCAGCATCCTTGAAGCAATTCCACAAAACCCAGGCTGTGGGAGAGATGAACTCTGAGTTCTTGGAAGAGGCTAGATGCTGATTTGAGAGCCAAGGTTTTGTGGATTGAATTGAAAGCCTTGGGAAGTTCATGGCAACGCATGAACGGTGAGAAGCAGAGAGGGGCAGGTGGAATGCTTCTAGAGAGCTAACAGGAGGATCCAGGGAGCAGAGGGGAGCGGGAGAGGCAGCCAGCAAGGCAACAGCAGAACAGTAACGCGGAGACACCCAGGAGTGTCCCACAGCGTTTGCTGGAAGAGGATCTCAGATACAGGGTAAGAAGGGGAGCACGGCAGTCAGCTGAGGGCAGGGTTCCTAGGTTAGTAGAGCATCTGACTACTGGCGTGAGTCCCAGGAGAAGAGCGAAACGTGATGTAGAAGGAGATGGTGTAAGGGTTGTAAAACGAAACGAAACAACAAAACCCACCAGGGAAGAGGAAAGAGTAAACGCCTAAGAAGTAGAGGGGACCTTGATGGGCAAAAGCATGGGGTCCACCGAACAGAAAAGAGGCAGGGTGACTCAGCCCCAGTGGGAACTGTGCCCTCCTCTCCCCTTCCTGAGTGACTTTCTTGGCACTTGCAAAGTAGCTGTTAGGTTTTAGCAAGGTTGAAATGATCTTATTTTGTTGAATGCCCATCATTAGCCTTTAAAACATCCTGATCTCTGTGCTGACAGAGATGTAAGGACTAAAGAATTCATCGAGGTAGGCCCACACCTGGCCTTATTTTTTTTTTTTTTAAACTGGGACAAGTGCAAAGGGATTCCATGAAGGGATGTGAAGTAAAGAGAGAGAAGGATTTGACAGTTTGTAAGAACTACCTGTCTCTGTCTAATCTCTCTCAGAAAAAGTTGAGCGTAGGCTCATCACAAGAGGAATTAGTAGTCGTCGATCACAAGGATATTCCCTGGATCCAACAAAAAATGGAAGAGGTATTTATTATTTATTTATTTATTTTTAATTCTGTTGAGACAAGGCTTCTCTGTACAGCCCTGATTGTCCTAGTACTTGTTCTATAGACCAGGCTGGCCTTGAACTCAGAGATCCACCCGCCTCTGCCTTCTGAGCACTGGAATTAAAGGTGTGAACTATCATGCCCGGTCTAGGAAGACCGTTTATAAAGTGTGAGATGGGTTTGCAGTGACACTCTGGGATGTGCCAACTGCGTTCCGTTTATATGGAAACCCAGGGGAAGGTTAGAGTGTTCCACGAGGCATTCCTTGGCAGTACACTGCAGTGTACAAGTGACTCTCCTAAAAGCAAATACGCACTGAAGCCAGACCCTGCCTTTTTGATTAAGTTCTACAAGCCTTAAGAACCTATTCTTAACCTGAAACCCAACAGAAATATCAGGAAAGCTAAAGCCAAGAAGAACCCGAGAGACTGCGTTTTTGAGTTTTGAAGGATGTTTGTCTTAGAGGGATGGGTTGGGAACAGAAGGGCTACAGTGGCTAAGGACATCATAAAGCCAAGCAGTGGGCTGAAGGCGATGTCTGGATCCCGTCTCTCACTCGAGCTCGGTTAGCTTTGGTTTGTCAGTGATTCACTTTTCCATTTTTCTCTACCTTTTTCTGACTTGTATGATTATATTGGTCACATGTTGTTTCAACCGGTCCCTTACAAACACCATTAGATTTAAGTAGAGCATCACAGGAATGTAATTTCATGGTTGGTTTAATTTTTATTTATTTTACTTGCACGCGTATCCATGTTTTTACATGCGTGTTAGCTCATGTGTGTGTATGTACTTGCATGTGAAGGCTTAAAGTTGATGGCAGGAATAACCTCCATCACTCTTCTACCTTAATCATCAAAGCAGGCGCTCTCCATCAAACTCAGGGTTTATCAATAGTCAGCGGTCAGCATTGCTAGCCAGCTTGCACTGGTGATCTGCCTTCCAAAGCCAGGCGGGCTGCCATACCTATCTGGCATTTGCGTGTGTCTCTGGGGATCCAGATTCTGCTGCCCACAACTGTGTGGCAAGCCTCTGCTGGGTGAACCACGCCCTCCTCCTCTGTATATTTTATATTATAGTCTTTGCAAGCATTCTGTTTCGGTTTTAAAGAAGTTTACCTGTGCATCGCTCAAAGTTCTCCTTGTCTCTCCGCACCATCTCGCCTTGCCTTGTTAACTGAGGTGCTTGCTCCGTTTCAGGCCATCAAAAAGGAGGTGAGGATGTTTTCCCCCAGAAGAAAGGAGATCAAAAGAGGAATCAAGGAGCTTGCTCAGATTGTAAGTACAGTGCTCACATGCACTGAAGCACACTGGCCTGCCGTCAGAAATTACATGTTCACCTCCTATTGTTTCACACAGTGTGAGGGCCTAACCCCCTGAGCTTTCTAGAGTGTTCTAACAGGCTCAAACTTTAACTATATCACACTCTATCTAATGGGTTTCCCCTCTACTTTCCCCGAGCACCCCATCTTTTTTTTTTGTTTTTTTGTTTTTTTTTGTTTTTCTAGACAGAGTTTCTCTGTGTAGCCCTGGCTGTCCTGGAACTCACTCTGTAGACCAGGCTGGCCTTGAACTCAGAAATCCGCCTGCCTCTGCCTCCCAAGTGCTGGGATTAAAGACGTGTGCCACCACCGCCCGGCCCCGAGTACCCCATCTTAAATTGTATTTTAATACTTACTTTCATCAAAGTTGTACACTGACTTTGGGTTTTGGTTTTGGTTTGAAGGCGACCTCTGTCCTGCCTCACTTCGCCATGGCTCTCAAACTCCTGGCATAACAGTCTTAACTTTTCTACCTTTTCTCCTAAAGTCCACCGTTACATCGACAAGTCCATCCTCAGTACCCAGCCACGTAAAGTTCCAAAGCCCGGCCACGTGCTCTATTATGGCTGCAGAACCATTCTTACAGCTCTGTTTTTCTAGGATTTAATAACTCCCCCCTTGGCATTTTTCGTGCGTCTGTTATCTACTTAGACTCTCAGAGGATGGTGCGCTCAGGGACGGGAGGTCAGTTTGAGCTCGGTAACCTCCCTCCGGAGCTGTCCATGCTTCAGCTTCTGCCTGGCCATCTTTCTCTCCAGCTCAGGCCCATAGCTGCTCACTTAGGGCCTCCTAGTTCACTCTCCTAGGAAGTAGTTCTTATCATTAGGTTGTGTGGCATAGAATTGATAGTTGATATACTTCAACCTATACAAATTTTCTGCAAAAATATATGATTCAGGCCAACAAGATGTCTCGATGGGTAAAAGCGCTTACCACCAAGCCTAATGACCTGAGTTTGATCCCCAGGACCCACATGATGGAAGGAGAGAACTGATTCCCACGGATGTCTTCCGTGACCTCATACATGAGGCATAGCATCCCTGCCTTACACCCTCATAAAATAAGTAAATAAAATGGAAGACGTCTGTGAATACAATTCAATCAACAACTATTTTCTGTCTTTTTTCTCCTTTTAAAAATACACCTTTTAAATACAATATTCTAAAATTATGGCTTGCTCCATAATTTTCCTTCATAGCTTTTGTATTTGTCTCTGATTTTAAAGGGCCTTCCAAAAGCTGGGCATGAAGGGCACACCTAAAGTTCTGCCTATTCTAGGGGCAGAGGGGGTAGGAGAGGGGAGTTCATTGGAGCCTAGGTGTTAGAGAGACTAGCCTGGGCAACTTGGTGAGATGCTGTCTAAAAAAAAAATGGAAGTCTTCCAAAGTCTCACATGTCCTTGTCTAATATTCTTTAATTGCTGTGTAATTCACTTTTCTGAACGGCATAAAGGGCAGATCTTAGCTTTTCAAACGCATAGCCCATTTCCCACAACACATTTCTAACTTGAGCACACAGCCCTCTCTGCATGGATCTGGAGTGCTTCTCCAAGTGCAGACCCGTTTCTGGATTCCCTGTCCTGAGGATGCCACTCACTGCTCTTCCCCTGCATCAGTGCAAAGCTACTTAATCGTCACAGTCTTGTGAATGTTTTCATGTCTTGAGAGTAAATCTGCCTTTACACTTCTCTTTCGAAACAAATATTTTGTGGACATTTCTTCTGCAATTTGAATTTTAAAGTCTGTCTGTAAACCTTGTTTGCTTTTCTGTTGCTACGGTAAAATACCCTGAGGAAATCTCCTTAAGGGAGGAGGGATTTATTTGGGCTCACAGTTCTAGGTGCATGGTGGGGAAGTCCAGATGGGAGGGGCTTGAAGCTGCTGATTCCATCACCTCTGTAGCCAGGAAGATGAGAACAACAAATGCTTTCTTAGTTTCTATGTTATTTATGTCCACAATGAAAAGAATTCCAAGGATTAGTTAGTTTTCTTTTTTCTTTTCTTTTTCTCTCTTTGGTGGGGGGGGAGGGTGTCAGAAACCCATGTGTTACTTCAACAAACTTTATCTGCTTGTTCAGGACCCAAGCCTAGAGAATGGTGGCACCCACTTTCACCGAGAATCTTTCCACTACAAATAACCCCCAACCAATGCAATTTTCTATAGCCATTTCCAGAAGAAAAAAAAATGTTGTAGTAAATATTTAATCCCAATCAGGGGTTTCTACCCCACCTTTGATCATTCAGTTCCCAGATAAAAAACACAAAACCTATATATTTATGA